TGGGGTCGCTTGGTGGTGGTGGGGAGATGGTCGAAGTTGAGGTGAGAGGGGGTGGGGAGATGGTGGGTGGTGGGTTTGTCATTGTGAGGACGGTGGAGGGGGTCGCGATGTTGGTATGTGAGGTACAAAGAGTTCTCTGTAGAGATATTGTAGTAGCGGTGGTATGCGCACTTCTCAGCCTCGTCGCGTCGCTCTCACGGCTGTATGTCGAAAGGCAAGGTGCGTGACGAGCAGATGTCGCAGACGTACGTAGGCGGCACAGCTGCCTCTTGTGCAACCCAAGCCTCAGGCAGCCCGCCTTTCGCAGCCTCACGGCCAAACAAAAGCCCGCGAGCGCGTAAGCAAGTCGTGACCGCGATGACGTTTGACGCCCACGCGCTGGCAATTCAGGGTCCATCGGTTGAAGTGGGGCAGCGACGCGGCAGCTGGCCGGGGTCGATGTCTTGGTATGGACCTTGATCGTCGCGTGCTATATCGGGATACGAGTTGGATGAAAAACGACGCAACAATACTAAGGGTTAAGCTGGCGAAGAAGCCATGAGAAAACTGGGTATGTGTGGGTTTGAAACAAGCGCAAAGGCTGAGCTGAGTTCATTCATGTTTCCATCGCAGCGCGGGGCACATGGCTTGCTGCGCCTCCTTCCACCCGCCCTTTTGTACATCTAATAGCTGACGGGTATCTAGTAACACCACCAAGCTTCGGCCCCCGAAAGTACAGACCATGCAAATACATACGGCGCTCAAGTTACATAATCATAGGCTCATTACCCGCTCGCAAAAAACGTAAGGACGCGAAGTACTAGTTAGACTGCTTCGGCATCAAGAATCCCATGGTGTACGCTTCACCAGAGTTCGTCTTCGTGGAATCAGCCTTGCTGCTGTCAGCTATCAATAACATGCAATGAATCATGATCGTCAGTACTTACGCCCATGTAGACATCCTGCCCGAACATGTTTGCTCGGTTGCCTTGGATGGGTTGCTGGTTCGGTGTCTGTCCTGTGGCTGGCATCCCGTTTTGCTCGGTTTGCATAGGCATGTTACCAAGATCCATGGGGAAGAAGTTGTTGGTCGCTTCCATGCCAGGGTTGGGGCCTTGGATGTACGAGTCCCATGCGTCCTAGTCATGTTAGCAGAGTAATACTGGCGGAATCGTGAGGATGACGCACCCAGTTGATGTTGTCTGTGGGCGGGAGATCTAGATTCTGGAATAGATTCGCTCCGAACAGGTTTGAGAACGGACTTGGTGCATTCTCTGGCCCTGATGGTCCGCTTGTCGGCTGGTTGTATTGTGGTGTCAAGCCCGTCGACGGCTGAGGCATAGGGTCGTTTAGTAGATTGGCCATACCGGCAGGGTATCGCTGATCGAACATGTTGGCATTGGGCGTCATGCCGCCTGTGCTGAGTAGGCCTAGTGTCATCGCTGCCGAATGTTCAGGTGCGACATTGGCGTCTTCCATTGGTGCCATTGTCGGGTATGCGGAGGTAGCTGCTTGGAAACCATTGGGCGTCTGTTTGGCTACCCGGTTCTTCTTCAGTTGATCCAGCATGACACTGAGCGTTGTGTGCGCTTTGTATGCTTCCATGGAGTGATCTTTCAGACCATCCCAGATGCCCACCGCTATCTCTATAGCTTCGAGCATCTCCTCGCAACGATCTGAACTCCACACGAGCGTGTCTCCTGACGGTGGAGATCGAGATGGCGCTTCTCTAGAAGTGTGGTAGAGATTAGAAGAGATGATCATCGCTGCAAGAAGGAAGTCGACAGTTGTCAGCGATGAGATGAACCATTTGACGTTGCGCAAACGACCGCCGGCCTGGCATTCCCGGTGCAAGGTCGCTTGGTGCTTGAGAAGCATCATCGAGGCTTCAATAACGGCTTTCCTGGAATAGGCAAAACGTGATTGCACTCTCGCATAAGACAGGTACTTTCGATGTAGTACGCATATTATCTTGAGGAAGAGGAGATCTAATGTGAAGCGTTGCATGATCAAGGTAGAAGGATCGCGCGCCGCTTCATCCATCCCTCGCATCTTGAGATGCGGCGAGATGTTGTCGTGTAGCTCTCGAGCTTCCGCGTCTAGCTTCATGACCTCTTCGTACGAAGAGCATGTCAGAGTATCTGTGCACTCGACCGCTTCTCCGAGCTTGTAGATCAATCTTGTCCGATTGATGAGGAAGAGTGTAGGTGTAGCTTCGGTTTCCGGTCTCGAAGGAGGCAGTATCTTCATGTCTTTGTGGAGTTCATCGTCGTATATGTTCCGCGGTATCTCAGTGTTGGTATCCCGCGGTCGGACGATGGGTGGCAACCCAGCCTGTGCGGAGAACAGCAGATCAAATGAGCGGACCGCAGCCCAGACACGTCTTCGCATCTCCGCTTGGAAAACGGGTATGCCGGCATATGGCGCCGCATCCCGATGCAAACCCATGCGCATCGCTAGCCGCACAATGATACCTGTGCTTATCAGGATGCCAACTTCTGCATCTCTACTACGAGCATACTCTGCATGAACATGCAAGATCAAAGTCTCCATCATTCCTGTGATGGGTTGCGTAATATCTGACATGATCAAACATTGCGCCGTCAAGTCTCCATATTCTCTTGACATCTCCCAAGACTTGTTGTGGTATTCCGGAGGCTCATCACCAGCTCGTGTGTACGACTGTAACGCGATACACATCATCGCAAACACTGTACCGAGCCAGATAACAGGCGTCTCTTCTGGTTGTGCCCAGTGCCTGTCGTATTCCTCCTGAAACGAAGGACCGTGTATGATGTGAATGCCGGGATCGTATGTGTTGAAGAAGCGCGAGACGAGGAGATCGGCTGTGGGCTTTGGCGGAAAGCGCGATAAGATTTCGGCTTTGGAGGTCGGTTTCGCTCCGCCCATCAGGAAAGATGTACCCGGCGGTCGGTCTTCGACGTGAGTTGCCTTAAATCGCTTGAGCTGATCCTCGTACTGTTTCTTGTGCTCGGCGAAGTAGTTCTTGACTTCCGACAATTCGCCCAAGATTGCGTACCAGTGTGCTTCTGATGCGAATATGGTGTGGTTGTTGTGCACCTTCATTACTCCAATTGACTTTGTGACGGTCTCCATCTCGCTCTCATCGTTCACGTCCTCCTCGGGTATCGACTCGGGAGCGCCGGTGCTCATGCTCGTGATCATTTGGCTTGGATCAAATTGCTGGTCCGGGCCAGCATTGGCCATGCTGTTCGCGATAGCTGCTTGGGCGGCGGCAGGCCCTGCACTCTGCGCACCATTGGTCATCAGCGAGAGAACCAGCCCCTCGAGACGGTCAATGCGATTTTGCATATCATCGGGCGTCGTGGCGGAGCCGGTGCTGGCTGAGCTCTTCTTGCGGTTGCCTGGAGCCGCGTACGTACATGATGCCGTATCTCCGCGCTTAGTACAGTTGTCGCAGGGATGGCCTCTATTGCATTTCAGCCTACAATTGTCAGCTTGTGGCGATCCTGTCTTTGTTGTCGAGCTGTGCCTACTTTCGATGCCTGCATGCTCCACATGATAAGGGAACACGATTCCTTTTACGTACAACTCTGAACTGCGGATCTGGCGGCGACTGTCCTGCGCTCGACGAAGTCGTTGAAGGCGGAGTGGGCGGCATGGTCGCGATCGCGTCGTCCTCAGGTGTGATATGGGACGACGGAGAATGCGGACTTAAGCGCTAAAATCCGTTCAAGATATATGATGGAGTCTCACGCCTTGGTGGTCGCCTAAGCTGCAGGACTAGGGTGTTGACTGGTCCAGACTCGTGTCGTGCAGACGTTGGACGTCGCTAGTATGCGCTTTGCAGAGGAGAGTGTAGCGAAAGGTCGTAAGGTGTGCGATTCTGCGATTGCGGCCCGGTGCGGTCTTAAATCTTCCGGAACTGAGCTATCTCCATGCGCCAAGTGCTATGACTCTGAGGCGTGGACTTGAAATGGCGATACTGCCCTGGTGTTGACTTGTATGCGACTTGCTTCCGCCCTTCCCACCAGTGAATGTCGTCCAATACGGCACACTTTCCGCTCTTCTTTTCACGATACTGCCTCTTGTATTGCGCAGACGTACGCTTCAATCGATGCGAAGGGAATTTGTCGTTGGGTGGTTCGTCTAGATTCGGCTTACGCAGCGCTTCTTATGAGGGGAAGGTGCAGCTCATGCAATGGGCAGTCGACCTCGCGGTGAGAGGAATGTGGTCTAGCGGTGTATCGAAGGCTCGTTGACACCTGCTAGCATCTGTCAGCAGCTGCACATTCACAGAACTATGCGCCGATTCGTACTTACTCTCAAATAGGCTTGCACGCACCGCCAGCTTTCCGTCTAACGCGCCCGACTCACGATAGCGACCTCTGATCGCGGAGGCTCCTCAATTAGGCCTTTGGTGATATGCGCTAGCTTCGGCGACTCGGATAACCCAAGATAAGGAGATCGGAAGAGGCTGTTGTGGTGTCGTAGTCAAAGGCTGGTACGGCCATGGGCAGAATTAGGCGGCCTTTAACTCCGACCACCCTCATCCGTCGCCGCCAAGATGTCCTGCGACATGCGACTCTTCATCATGTCGCCATCACGCATATTCATGTGACTGACTGTACAGTTTCGGTCAGCTCCTTCGGTGGCGAGCTCTTATCCAGCACTACCACTATCCAGCCTCCGTGTGGCCCTTCATCGCACACTGCTCTTTCCACATGTCAAGATTGCTCGTGGTCGCGCTTGCCCCAGGCGGGGTCGAACTAGCCCACGCTCAAGCCACCTGCTCGCTGGCGGCAACTCAGGCCCGCTACTTCGCACAGCGACAAGCTTTTGACAAGTCTGGGGCCTGTTCGCAGTTCTCTGTATCACACATCACTGTGCATATGGTGATTTTATGCGAAAAACTTTCCGAACGAAATTTTGTTCGAAGAGAAACAGAACTATCTAACGAGACACACAATCTAGGTCCGAACGCTTACGTCAATTTCTTCGCAATCATCATCATCCAACCCGCTATATCGTCTGATTCATCAGGCTCCGTTACTTGGCCCTGCGCTATTGCCATCGCCGTTCGCAGACGCTTGAGGCTCTGCAGCCGCCGTCCAAGGCACCATCTTCTCGGCCTTCGCATCCCACTTGTGCACTCCACCCGTGCCAACATTATACTGGTAGTAATTCTCCGTACCGCCCTTGATCATCGCCTTCCTGAAGGTAATGTTGATCCTCCCTTTGCCTGCCTCGGGACCGGCGCGCTTTGGTATACTATGTAACCAATTCGCCTGCGTCTTGCCACGCATCAAGACCATATCTCCCGAGCCGAGAGGCAGCTTGATGCCCTTTGGCTCCGCCACCACAACGCCTGCCTTGGGTGGGATAGGCTTGTGCTTCATCAAGAAGTCGCGCTTTGCACCGAGACTGAACGATGCGATTGCCGGATTAGGACCGAGGAATCTCTCATCGTCCGAGTGGTACGATATGCTGTCCTTGCCATCGGCGTAGTAATTGACGAGGCAAAAGTTGAAGGTCTCGCCAGTGGTGCCCTCTGTCACTTTCTTCAGTTCCTCCAGACACTGTGGGATAGGACGAGGTGCGCACTTGTAGCGGCTCTTCTCAACCGGCTTTTCAGTTTTTGCATCTACGATGCTGCCATCAGCTGCAAAGCGCGATGTGTCGTCAACACCAAAGACGGTTGTGAACCGCGGCGTGTTAATCTGAGTTTGTGCTCCTCCGCGGGTGATGTTGTACTGCACGCGGTAGAAGGGAAGTTCCTGTCGAAGGAACTCGAAAAGCCCTGGCGCAATACTGGAAGGTACGTATGGCTGATAATATACAAGATCCAGGTCCAGCTGGTCGTTCATGACCTTGCCCTCCTCAGCAGGTGCGAATCCCAACTGCTCCGTGAACGGGGCAGGCAGATGTGGGATGGCGAAGGGGTAAGACGCATGGCTTGACTTATGAAGACTTGCTTCATATCTGGGTTTCTTGGGCTCAGGGCGCTTGAAGAACGAGTCAATGGCACCTCGCTTCAGCGACATGGTCCTTGAAGCTGTGTTGGCCCACACCTGTCCAAGCCTTCCACCAACTATCAAGGGCTGGAGGACCTTCACTGTCACTGTCTGGAAGCAGTACAGCTCGGTCTGCCGACCACTAACGCCTTCTGATGGGGAAGGAAGAAGTATTAGGCTCGAAACAAAGTAGCCTACAATGGTATTGCTAACAGGTTGTTGTTCCACCTTTCTGGGCCTGGTCTCAATCAAAGTCTTGCAGAGGCGACGAAAGATGGGATCCTCGATAGCTATATTGTAGATTCTCCCACAGATGCAATCCAACTGCGTTACGTAGGCGACAAAGGCGTTCCAAAGACCTTTTGCACCGTCCGAGGCTGGCACGCCTTGTCTTGGAGAATAAACTGGTGGCGGGTTTGCGTCACCAGCTCCAGGACCCGATTCAAGTCCAACTGAAACCAAGCGTTGGGTCAATCCGGCAAAGCCGAGGTGCTCTGCGTGAAGTGCGTGATGCGCGCGGAGCCTGTGAATATGTTGGGCTCTCTCCGAAACTTGAGAGTGAGGAATGGAGCGACGCGACTGTTGTACGCGACGATTGTGAACTTCTTGGGCTCTTGCCGAAACTTGAGAGCGAGGTACAGAGCGAGAGGGTCTGCCTGCAGGAGAATTGAAGGATGCAGAACGTGTAGTGACCATTGTCGCGACGCGTCTCTGCGCTGATACTATTCTAAACGTCGATGACGTATGTGATTGGTCTGCACAGACGTCGATGTGATTGGCTGACGGCTGGTAGCGTGGCTAACGCGTGGTTGGGAGGAACGAAGCTCGCAGGTTGTACCTTCTCACTTAACGTAGCAACATCAGGAGAAAAACCTTACCTGAAGGTGCAATATCATTTCTTGTATCTTCCCAACGTATTGTCATTCATCTACGAGCGCTGTGTCGCGAGGTAACTAGGTTCATGTTCGTGAGATCAGACTGCGCGGCCACCAACAAAGGTCCACCACAGTCGTGCACGCATTATACGCAGATCGCAGCATCTAACCTGGTTACGGTCTTGTGCAAAGTCTCGCAATACTCAAAAAGAGACAAAATCTCACGCCAAATACAACCTCACGAGTATGTGTCGTTGTTCAATCGATCCATGGATCGGGGTGACAGCCACGCGATGACACGCTCAAGCGGCCCGCCTTGACAGGTGCGCGATTCTGTCAACCTCGGAAAGACCCCACCACATCATCCCTTCTCATCCAATCTTTCCATTCCCAGCCCTGTCTCAATCTTGCGCATCAGCGCGCAGACATCGGTCGCGTCTCGCAATTTATATGCGATGTTTTCCCATGCACGTTCCCGAGAGCGCGCGCGCGATGCGACACGAGACGAAGCCCATACGCGTTCGCGCTCAGGCGTAGCGAACATCATGACGACGCGACCCGCCAGCAGATCTCGCGACTTTCAGCCAGAGTGAAACAGCCGCGCAATCGTATCCGCAGAATGGAATAATCATTAGCTTATCACAAGAGCTATGTTTACGTTCTCAGAATTCCCGGGCGATGCGAGGACGACTCTACGGGCCACCAACGCATTCCAAGGAGCCGGTGAACGCGACTCTCAGTCATCACAACAACAATTCAGTCAATTTCAACCCTGTCATTTGATCACCGAACAGCACCTTCGACGCCGTACCACAAAGCTGAAGTCGATGCCTTGAAATCTGAGGAACAGTGCCCCACCGGGATTAGCGTATTATACCTGAGTGGTATCGCGGGGTAGTAATCATCTCAACAACGCTTCCTACGAGTACCTCTTCTGCCTAATACACAACAGCCTTTACTAGCCAAAGCTTCGAAGACAATAGCAATGGCCTCGAAGGATGCCAGTCTAGCGGTGTTGATAGACGGTGACAATGTCTCACCCAGGGTCATTGTCGGCTTGATGGCAGAGATAGCCAACTACGGCACAGCCAGCGTAAAGCGAATCTATGGCGACTGGACTTCTCCGTCGCTCAAAGGATGGAAAGAGTGCTTACTCAATCATTCAATAACACCCATCCAGCAATTCGCGTACACCACCGGCAAGAATGCAACTGATGGCGCTATGATCATCGACGCAATGGATCTGCTATACACTGGCCGCTTCTCCAGCTTCTGTATCGTCTCGAGCGATTGCGACTTCACCCGGCTCGCATCCCGCATCCGGGAGCAGGGCGTCACCGTTTTCGGGTTTGGCGAACGCAAGACAAACAACGCGTTCATTGCCGCTTGCGATAAGTTTACCTACTTCGATGTACTTAACCTGCCGCCCGAGGAAACTACCCTCACAGACCGCCCATTCGGCTTCGTCGATTCCCATCCTGTCGTCAACACAACTTCCAAGCTGGGTAAAAGGCCTCTTGATCAGTCAGCAGTCGAGGGCTTGTCCAGGGCCGTGAATAGTTGCAGGAGCGATATCGACAATTGGGTTCACCTAGCTGACGTCGGCGTTTACCTCAGCAAGATCTCGCCCGACCTCAACGCACGCAACTACGGTTACGAACGTTTGCGTGATTTCGTGGAGGCATCGGGAATTGTGGACGTCAAGAAGCGAGATATGGGTGATCACCCTCCCGTTGTTCTGGTCCGTCTCAGAGAGCATCGGGACCGAGTTTAGTCAGTGGGCGAAGTGCCTCTATGGGGCCACAAGCAGATTGTCTCATTTGTACCGGTGTCAGTGAAATGCTCAGCCAGCGGAGAGATTTCTTAATTTCGCTATCATTCCATAATTTACAGGGCACATCATATCGGAAGTCGTACAGAGGAGAATGCGAACTGTAAGGTATATTGGTCTGCCCTCAACGTACTCGACACATCATCGTTACCTCCGCGAAAGTGAGTTAGTCCAAGACCTTCAAAACCGCGAACTATTCATCCATCCATCTACCGTATCCCAATGGTACATAGCTATTGCTATCGATCTACTTCTTTTCCTTCTTCCTGTCTTTAGGTGGATTCCAAAAACTGTCCTCCGCTTCCTTCTTTAGCATCGCTTTTTGATTTTCCTTGGCTTCCCTTTCCTCTTTATCTTCGCGCCCCCATCTTCGCAAACATGATGTACAGCCAGTCTGGTTCTTTAAGTGAGTCCCGGTTCTGCAACCCTGAAGACACAGCAGTTGGTGCTTCTTGCAGTATCGCACCCCAGTTGTATCCCAGTCGCAATTGCCAGGACTCTCTTCGCCCACCCGGCCATTCGCACCAGGACAGTGATGGGTCTTCTTAGTCCCCTTAGTATAGTATTGATTACCTTCGCCGCCTTTACCCATTCTGATAGTGTTGTAAAGATAGTGTTGAGGAGCTGTTTGAGTAAGTTCTGTGGTTGTTTGGGGATTGTATTACGGTTGGGTTGCTGATCAGGATTGCAGATGTCGTACTGCACATGCAGAACATTATATACACAGGCTTCACGAAACGCGTTGCGACAATATGGGACTTGACTTTGAGACAGTGAACCACATTGAGCATTCACACCGCCACTGCAGTGACTGTTCCGAAGGAAACGACCCTGTGCACCGACAAGACTTGGCGTTTGGCAAACAAAGAGACCCACCACAACAATGCGCCCCGACACCTTTTAAAGACTGTTTCGCCTACACCACAACGTTTCTTCATACTCATCATCCGCGCCATGTCACCTCGCTCTTCCGACCCTGCGGGTTCGCGGGTATCTGTCTCGGATGCGCCACAACGTGTCGACGCGCCTATCGAAGAGACTTGCGCGCAACACGAAGATAAACAGGATAATGTCAATGAAGAGCAGCAGCACAAATCATTAGTCTGTTCATCTATAAAAGCAGATACAGTTATTTACGGCCAGGAACCATTCGAGACGCTTCAGCACAAAGTCCCTGCACTGGCCGCGAAATTGTTTCAGCGAAGCCCGAAAGATATCACGGTCACTGAGATGAAGGGTGGGTCCTTCAACCGAGTTGTCGGCGTCTCATTTATGTCAAAACCCAGGAAGTTCAGCTTGATCTGGTTCCTGTTGTCCTGTCTGGGCCGGCGCAAGAAGAAGGGCGCCGCTCGATTGGAGAAGTACGTTCTGCGCATCCCGCGGATGGGTTATGAGTATGAGGATAGTGCGAAAGACATGGCCGACGACATGGAGCGCGATGTTGCAGTCCTGAAGACCATTGGCTCCAGGCTGCCTTTACCTATCCCCAAGGTTGCGAGCTATGATCTTACCGCTGAGAATATATTCGAACGACCATACATGGTCCAGGGTCACCTCCCGGGTCGCACCCTTGCCACGAATATTTGGGACGATCTCAACATGGAGCAAAAGAAGCACCTCGCGAAGGAGATCACCGCTCTCGCTCCCACCATTGCCTCTGTGGAAGGCCCGGTCGGCGACATATCTACTCAAAACCTCAATAGGCCTTCAAATTCTCCAATCTGCACCCAGGACTTTCCACTGCGATCTCGTCAAGGGCAGAAGCCCGAGCCTGCTACGACTTGCGATGCCTTCGACTGGATGTGGGAGCGATGTAGGCAGTGGAGCGTACATGACACCTCCGATGATGGCTACGTTTGTTTCGATGACATCTGGAAGAGCTTCGCCAACATCGTGCGAGCTCTAGACGACCGAGGCTTTCTCGATGGGCCATGCGTACTCGTTCACGGTGATCTCAAGATCTATAACATCCTCGCGGAAGTACGTAGTGACACCGAAGCGGTGATCACAGGCGTTATCGACTGGGACACGGCCATCATTGCCCCGGAGTTCATGGCCTATAGAGCACCGTTCTGGCTCTGGACGCCTGCCGACATGGCCAGCGCTGAAGAAGATGACGAGAGCGTGGCGAACGTGGAGCTCGCTACCGACGAGGACAGGATATTGAAGCAAGTGTTCCTCAACAATGCGTCCGACAAGTACAAGTTTTTTGCCTTTGCACCAGAGGCAATGCTCGCTAGACGTATGTTCTATTTTTTGCAGAAGGGGATGCCTGGTAGCTGGAACTATGATGAGGCAAAAGCGGTTATAAAAGAGTGGGACAAACTCCACCCCGAGGATAATGTCCGGTTCCGTCTTGACTGGCGGTCTGACTCTGAGGCTGAGTCCGACTCAGATGATGAGCCTACCAAGGACGATGAGATTGCGAAAGACATTGAGCCTACAAATGATGCGGAAGAAGACAAGCTCGTTGTTGCGGAGTAGCAGGTACATGTCTTCGACATGTGAAGGAAATGCCAATACTGAATCACTTATTCCTGTCCTTGCATTGGAAGTCTTGAACGATATCTTCTCTCTAGCATGGCATGTGAATCAATCAGTGCGTTGCATCAAATGTACTTCATTGGTTTCATGAGCTCTCTGTAATGAGCACATTCACTTTCAGCCAGCTATGCGACTACGTTACCCTCAAAATATCTTTCTCAAGAATTGGAGTCTACATAGTTTACGTTGATATTCTCGAAGCGATGATTCGCTCGTACCCATGAGTGATTGAAGTGCCGGACAAAATCTATCAATGGCATGTGCCACGAGACCTCTCAATCAGCGTCGACCGTTTTAGTGTCCCTCTCGGAAACTGGGTCATTAACACAGCGCAAAGTTTCATCACTCATTCCACCTTTGAGGAGACATTGTGCGCCTACAGCGTCCGTCGTGTTCGAGCGATTGCTGCGGCCCGTTCCACAATGCACAGGTCAGTTCAATATCGACAAGACTTTTAGCCCAATCTTGCTTTATGAACTCTTCAATAGCGTGAACAAGAACGGCAAAGTTCAGATAATCATCAAGGCCGCACCTGATGGCGCATCCCGATATCTCATGTCAAGGACTTAATAAAGTTGACATCGCCTGCCTTGAAGCGGCTATGACATACCTCCCAGATCGTGTTGCGAGCAACGACAAACTGACAACTTCTGGATATGAGAGTGGGAACCCCTTACGGCGCTTGTTCGATGACGAAAATATCTTCACTGAGGGTGGGGTAGGCTTTCTGGAAGGGAGAGAAACAGTCTTGAGACTGAAGTTTCGAATTTTGCAGCTCATTGCCGATCTGTTCCCTGAGAGCGAGATGGATGAGTCTTCACTCCGCGTACTTGGTATGGGCTCTTTCAACATCGTCGTAGCTGTCACATTACAGCACAAGGCGCAACGACGTGACTCCGGGGTCGCCTTTGGCGCTAGAGTGTCAAGGCTTCTTGGTATGCCTCCACGAACCCGTAAGTTTGCTTTGAGAATTCCAAGGGACAAGAATGGGGACATGGATGGTTCTCCTCTGAGCGACGTTGCTGGCGACATTGCTACTCAACGCGTTGTCTGCTCCCATCTAGCGCTACCCATACCCAAGATTGAGAAGTACGATCTTGGTTCGAAGAATGCGTTGGGACGGCCATATACTTTGCAAAACTTGCTACCTGGTAAGAACTTACATGCGCTATGGGTGGAGCTGAACCCGCAACAGAAAGCGTCAGCCGTTCAGCGGGTTACGGAAATAGTGGAGAAGATCGCCGCAGTCACAACAACCGCGGCTGGATTCGTCTCGTTGAGCAACTTGAACTCCGGGAGATCAAATATCGCGATAGAACAGTTTCCCGTCCCGACTAACAAAGAAGCGGAGCTACGACCTCACTTTGCTCAACCGAGCCAGACTCCAGCACCATCTCAAACACCATGTGAGTATCTCATTGATCATTGCCAACGCTGGCAAACTTACGAAGAGGAGATTGGACAAGCAGACCGAAACAAGGAAGTGTGGCGCGTGATGATCGCCATTGCAAAAGCTCTCGATCGGCGCGGATGGCTGGGGCAACGCTTCCATCTTGCGCACGGCGACTTGTTTCCTCGCAACATACTCGCTGAGATCACGGGTCCAGCGACTGTGGAGATCACTGGTATCATAGACTGGGACATGGCCTATTTCGCACCCAAGTTTATGGCCCTTCGCCCTCCATTCTGGGCTTGGGTGGGCCACTCCATGGGTGAGAGAGACGAAGATGTGGTAACGTATGAGCCAACTATCGAGAAATATCAGGCACTGAAGCGAGCTTTTAGAAGCGCGGCATCAGCCGAGTTCATCAATTTTGGCCTTTCTCGCGAGAGCGCTATCGCACGGAAGCTTTTCAAGGTCGTAACTGGGGGCTTACTAGACACGGGTCGTCGCTGTCTAGCGGTCCGGCTGGCAGAGCAATGGGATGTATTGTATCCGGAGGATAAGATTGGGGATCTTGGAGCGGAGTGGAATTGAGGAAGGTTCAATTCATTGTGCATATAAGTCCACTCACGTAGCAAACAACTGTATAATTTTCTTACTTCCTACCTACGCGCGTGCAAAACTCGATGGAAAAGGTGATGGATAAGTTCGAAGAACTTCGCACCTACCAGAAACACGAACCGATCACTGAAGTTGAGATTCCTCATCTCAGAGTGACATAGCAGTGGTGACCCTTGGGAGCAATCAAGAAGTTGTTATCCATCTCCATCATCTCATCGTTCATGGAGTCGGCAATTCTGGCGCCGCGACAATGTCGGAAGAAGAGAGCAGCTCCCAATCGGAGCTCCATGTACGCCAGATGTATGCCAATACACACCCTCGAACCACCTCCAAAGGGCATGTATGACGCCTTCTGATGTGCTGACATCGTGCTCTTGTCCAAAAAGCGAAGACCGTCAAATTCATGGGGATTGAGAAAGGCGGAAGGATCGCGATGGTTTGTGTAGGCCTGAGTGCTGACCACAGTATCTGCGGGGATGTGATGGCCGCGTATTACAGTGCCCTGTTTCGGTACAACCCGAGGTAAGGCGCCAGGAGCAGCGCCGTAAAGTCTCAACGTCTCTGCGATGACGCTGTTCAATAGAGGCGCAGTCTCGAGTTCTTCCTTCGTAAGCTCCTCGCTGAGTTCTGCAATCTCGTTTTCGAGTCTAGACTGCAGATCGGGCTGCTTGAGAACCGCCCAGACGAGATACGTGAGCGTCACCGCTGTAGTGTCCGATCCGGCCACAATGAAGCCGGCCGCTTCCTCCCTAATGTGTTTGTTCGAAAGCGCGGCAGTCTTACTATCTTCACTAGCAGCCAGCATTTGATTGAAGAGATTCTTGGTATTGCCACCCTCACTGCGCATCTTCTGTATCGCCCGCTCGCCGTGTTCGTTTAGGACATCATCGATCGAGTAGAGAAACTTTATCCGTTTGATGGGGAGGCAACTGAGAAGTTTCCAGATGGTAGTTCCAATTTCAGACCGAATGATACCGCAAATAAGCGCTGCCTGAATAGCATCGATGTATGGTGATTGCTGCCGTTGTTGTTAGAATGTGTCAATAAGGTAAGACCCATGAAGGTTGAATTGCATACTTTACCCTGCTCAATCATGTTGAAGCTTTCTCCAAAGCTGAGATGAGCTATTACATCATTCGCCATGAGCGTCCACCATTTGAGGACATCGGCTCCTTGCGATGAACCCGTTGCGTCGTGTCGAATTCTCTGGACAGCTAGGTTTGCTTTCGTCCTAATCTCTACGTCCCAGTTGCTGCTCAAGCTGGTGTTGCTGAAGGGCCGGGCAAACAGCCTTCTTCTTGCGGCATGTGCATGTGGATCGCGCATCGGGAATATGCCGGGTGTATCAGTTGGGAGGAGAGACGAGTAGAAGTCCGACTTCAGGTACCCGGCACCGATCTTGTGTATCTGACTGACACCGGCTATATCCGATACGGCTGTCTCGTTTGGCGAGATCCGTACGACGCCGCCATATCGCTGGTGAAGATTGTCCACATAGAAAATTCGTTTGCCTGAAACCGTCTGGTAACGAAGGACGAGACCGGTATACTTGGTGTACCATGGCCCTGGCAGCTTTGACAGTGGGCCTGTGAGCCCTGTCCACACGATCTTCGGATTGTTAGTCTTGATGCAAAGGAGTCTGGTATGAACCTTGTACCTTGATGATGTAGGCCAGTACCACCAAGAGAGCGGCTAAGACGCCTCGCTGAAGTAGCATCCTGAAGAAGTTCGAGTGAGCTCGCAATTGCTACCGGTATAGATCTCGATTGAGTAGAGGGCTGGACTTGTGATCCAACTTGCAACATGTTGTCTCAAATCTCTAGGTGCGTGGGCCCTTTACATATCGCCACACTTGCGGGATGTGGAGGTCAAGTGGTGAACGGCCCTTCATTTTTCGCGGTGGTTGTTTGATTCAATGGTGACGCACATCCTGGAGGGTATCTCTTGGGTCGCCTTGAACGTAGCATACCTAACAAACGCTCGCGTCTGCGCCATGGGAGACTTGTTGAATTCGCTCAAAGCTGCCGGTCAAAAGCATGGATGATATCGACCGATCAGTGGGTCTGACGACATTTGAGTATACTCCATCAAACGCGATCGGTCATTCGGCCTGAGGAGCTTCCGAGTACAAACACACGCAATTGGTTAGTCGGAGACCTTTGATGAGGGGGTATTGCAGTGAAGGGGCGGAGCGGTGTATTCAGATTCTCCGCCTCCACCTACGAAGGGCTCGGATGTGTTGTTACCCCGAATGAGTCCTTGCGCACCCTGAAATGCGCTTCGTCAAGCGTGCGCTGCATTGTGGTGGGTAACGGCGTTACCCCATAGATTGATCACGGAGTCGACGGAAGCCACGGCCCCCGCCGTAGCTCGTATATCGCGTCTGCGATTTTGGATTAGCTCGACGGCTAGACTTCATATATATTAGCGTGCGAGCCAGGGAAGTGATGACGTAACATTGGAAGGCACGTGAGGCTCAACAATATCACCAAAATCTATTCTCGCCATCTATCACCAGCTTCCACATATCTAATATCACTAGCGAACTAATGAAACGAGCCGAGTTCCCCAGGAATAAGTCGCGAGGGTTCGCGAGCTTGCCACTAGAGCTGTTCCTCAACATTCTCGATCAACTTGTGGGTACCCACAACGGCCAGCATCCTGTAGCGTATGCACCGTCAAACATCATTACCAAGACCTTGCGCGCACTTACTTTGGTGTCGCGCAACACTTATCTTGTAGCCACACAGTATCTCTACTCGCATTGTTTGTATCTAGACAGTTGCACGACCTATGCGCGATTTCGCAGAACGCTCGGACTAGACCTGGGGCATCACCCACAAGCGCTCAACTATGGCGAAGCCGGGCGAAACGAAGAACTGTTCGCGGATGCCCAAGCACTCCGCCATATCAAATCCATATTCATCTCGCCAACTGAGGTGCGCAGGGTGACTGAAGGGAACCATACGCCTTTGGTGCGACTACCACAAATAATCGACGCACTCAATCAGACAGGGCCTTCGCTCAAGAGACTGGCTTTAGACCTCTCTCCGATTTATGCGCCCCCAAGTGAGGTTGAGCAGATCAGGCCGCATGTCACGGTGAACAGGGTCTTTTCACACATGACGCACCTTGAAGAGCTCATTGTCAGCTACGATGTGGTCAACTACTTTCGACACCCACCGCCTAATCTGAAACGGCTTGCCATCACTACGCAGGAGATGACAGATCTGGAAATAGCATTCTGTCTCAAGACACCATCCTTGCAAACGCTTGTCATGATGCGACCCGTCAATCCAGCAGCCAAAGACATCGACACGATATTCAGATCATACGACGGGAAAAGCTTGGACGTCGTTCTGGTCGATGTGAACTCAAACCACAGGACACCAAACAAGACCCGGAACTGGACAGAAAAAGACGCAGTACGTATCTGGGAAGCTGATGTACCGATCAGCTTTTACGGCGATGACGACGAGATCATATTATGCGATGCCTGGATATGGAATCACGGGGTCGGTGGTACCCTGTGGAGCCAAGATAAGCGACGGATGGCATCGTGGGAAGAGGTTGAGAAGCGTCTGGCCGGACCAGTACACACGATTGTTGAAGTGTAGCTTCGAGGTTGTTGCACACATCGGGACATCACGGCTTCAGCAGCACCAAGGTGGCATCAACATCTGTTTCGCATTCGTTGTGCGAGACACCGCTCAAATCGTTCATTCATATGCTTAATCTCATCGCAATGAGAAGTTACAAATCTCTCTCCGCTACAGGCATCTGGTTTCCCCAGGTTACACCCTCTTGTACCAGCAAGCCCCCCGGAAATTTGTCTTTCAGTGTACCCCGCCCGACTATATCGTCTGCTTCTCTTTCTAACTCCTCTATATCCCATGCAGTATGCACATAGCTGCCCTTGAGCTTATCCGCTCGTCCGCCGCCCAGCCAAACCGAGAACTTGCCGACTAGCTCTGGACTGTCAAACGCAAAAGGCTTGAACATATCGCTTGTCCGCTCCGTCCTCACAACCCCAGGGTCTAAAGAGAAAGCCTTCATATCTGGATATTCGACGTTGAGGAACTCGATGAGCCGGCGGTCGGTTTGTTTCGCAATGCCATAGGAAGAGAGACCGGGGGTCACGACGGTACCCGCACCGGATGTGATGGAGATAAACGTTCCGGTCGGCGCTGGACCAAAGGTGCGGATATATTGGTGGGCGGGAAGATGTGTGCTGCGGAAGTTCGTTGTCATATCGGCCCACCACTCGTCATTGTCGTCGGTCTCATCTATCCTGCTGAGATGTGCGGTACCGACATTTGCGACGACTACGTCGAGTTTGCCGAACCGCTCTCTTATCGCATCAAAGAGTCTGGCGACTTCGGCTGATTTTGTGGTGTCGCAAGCCATAGCCAGAACTGGTGTTGTGGGATTGAGTCGCTTTAGCTGGACTACGACTGGCTCGAGACCGTCTTCATTGCGACTACTGATGGCTATACCCGCGGCTCCTGCCTCAGCCCACGACGAGGCAATTGCCCGACCGATCTCTTCCGAGGCTCCAGTAACGAGAACGTATTTCCCGGCGCCTGTGTGTTGTACTTCTTCAAGAGCGGGATATGGTTGGCGATAATATGTGCTAGTAAACTGGCACATCTTTGTGAGCATGTCCGGGTCAATGTGCTGGGCGACCATGGTGACGATGAGAAAACTGTGTGATGTTCTTCGGCGGATGTGGTGGACGACTTCCTGAATATCATCATCATATACCCCAGAGACGGCTTCTCGCGCGACTAGCATGCTATCAGCATTCGCCCGACGCGATACTCCTTCAGAGCTACTCTACCCTCCCTGTGGTGTTGAAGCCACAGCAACCGGTCACCAGCACCTCGGTATCATCCTTCGCGTGCTTAACCCGCGGCCAAGTATACCCAAAAGACAATGTCGATGATGATGATATGCAATCTAATTTCCTTCCACACTCCTACTATCGCTTTCACAGCAACATCTTCCATGCGATGCTTTGACAAAGGTGTGAGATTATACGATCAAGCCAGTCACAGACTGCCCACCACCTATCCCAGCACGAAGAGGCAGGCCTAGGGCTACCTGGCAGATGACGTGCCGGAGCCAGACACCAGTCTTTAGGCATCGGGGAAGCATATGTCTAAGTATAGACCACTTCTAGGGAGAAAGTATACAAGAGCATCTCGCTTCTATCCGCGATGTATTTATAGGCCGCTAGCATGCAGGCCGGAGGGCCCACAGCACCACCAAGATACCGATAATAGGGCAATTAGAGGCCGATCTATCCAGAATGTTGTCTAGACTTTCGCCTTACGATGTTGTGAACCAATGCGAAGCTATCAGAGATGTCGGCGTTCTCGCGTGTAAGCGTTTGGGGGCCAAAAGTGCGGCCAAATTTTACCGGCGGAATTCTGCCGGTCACTTCTTGACATGGAATGCACCGCGAACCTCGGATCAGCACGTGTGAATCTGTGTGTGATGCTCAGATTAGTTCCAGTAACAGGCATCGATTCATGATATGCCGCGATGTTGCTAGATATCGCCGAGGTAAGACACATCCGCTTTCATTCGCGATTGGACTTGCAGTAACGACCGCATCTTCTCCACCAAACCTACGTAACAACAACACCCCGCGCCCTAACATCCACTTTCCCACCCTCCCCCTTCTCCTCCCCCCTCTTCCACTTCTCCGCCCTCCCATAACTCTCCCTATACCCCCCCAAAACCGCCTCTTCAACCGTAATCTCCGCCCACCTCTCCCCCTCCCCCTCCCCCCTACAATTCGGCAAACAACCCACCACATACTCCGGATTGCCGCTAAAAAAAACCGGAATACTATACCTCTCCTGCCCACTCACATTGGTAACACGATGCAGATTGCTTACATACCGGTCGTTACTCCACCGCATCATCAGATTACCTAGGTTGATGACGAAAGCACCGGGGGTAGGTGTTACGTCGAGCCATTCCTGCGTAGCGTGGTCGTAGACTTGGAGACCGGAGACGGTGTCTTGGAGGAGGATAGTTATGCAGCCGAAATCTGTGTGCGCGCCTATGCCGCGGGTGAGGTGCGTGGGGCTGGAGGGGGGTTGGGATGGGTAGTGCAAGAGGCGCATTGTTGCTACTGCGCCCGTGGCGAAGGCGTCGAAGTAGGTTTCTTCCAAATCAAGTGTCAAGGCGAGGACTTTGAGGATGTCTTTTGCGAGGGAGACGACGCGGGCGTAGTATTCCAAGGATGTTTCTTTGAAGTCTTGGACATTTGGTAGGGAGGCGGCGGAGGGCCACATGTTGGGTCCCGAGTTGAGCTTCTTGTTGATGAAGTAGGGGTGGGTTTTGGGGATTTCGTCGCCGATGTAGAAACCTTCCTTTAGTTCGGGGGAGGTGCCGGCTTCGAGGATTTGCGATTTGAGGAGCTCGTAGCCCCGGTTCCAGGTGTTGGTTGTGTCTGGATGGAGATGTGGATGAGTTGATGTGTCTAGAGATCACCGTTTGGTGGTACTATCAAACCTACCTTTGTTCACTTTGTTCTTCTCTTCCAATGGCAGATCGAAGAACTTCTTGTTCCAGTCCATCATCCTGTTTTGCAGCTCGATTGGTACGTTATGACCCGTGATCTGGAAGAACCCATTATGCAGGCAGCAGTTTCGCACTTCGTCTACGAGCTGTTTCTTGGATGCTGGGTCATTTTGGTAGAACTCTTGGCCTCATCAGCAAGGTTTCGATTGCTAAGGCTGTCTGGCGGGTCAACTTACTTGAGAAGTCTAGGATGGGAGGCGCTTCGCCGGCGTTTGGCATGATGGGCTTGCTCGGTCAAGTTCAGTGTGGTATCAAAGTAAATAGTGTGATTGAGGTGACCAAGTGGTTGGAATGTGATGATACCTAGGTACTTGGTTGTGTTGGTGGTGGTGTCTGGAAACAGCAGCAAGCTATCGAGACGTGTCGGCTTCAATTATACCACGATTGATCATTACTTCCGCTTTCCATCATTGTCATATTCCAGTATGTCGGTTACCCCTCACAAGTGTTGCGCTATCGATAACGGCGTTATGTTGTCGAAGATGGGGCAAGTGGGATTGCGAAGGCTTTCACCCCACTCTTGCTGTGAGCTTATGATTGGCCATGCGACGCATCATCTGCGGGATACATCACGCATAACAAAGTGCGTTCTGCACATATCAGGATATAGTATTGAGTACCGACTTTTCAAAACCCATGCCTTCTACACCATCGAATAAACAGTAGTGCGGTTCTTACTCACCCTGGTCTCAAGCTTCATCAGCTTCATCCAGCAAATCATCAAGCTTCGAGTCTTGGTGGGCTAGCGTTAGCATGTTTTCGTCTCTGTTCCCAAAGCTCATACTTGCCTCGGCCTAATCGCTCTCATCATTCGCGTATGCGGTGGCAAGCCTCTGATCGGTATAAAGCTCCTGCCAGTCATCGACAATAGACCTGGCTTCCTTTTTGTCTCCATCATGGCGGATACCGTCTCTGAGCAGAGCGAACATTCTCCTCGCGATCATATACTCCGGTTCGTACGCGTATCGCTTCCATTCATCACTCGCCTCTTCCTCCCACAAGCTCTTCAATCGCCGGTACTCGGCATCGATTGGCATATCTGCAGCTATCATTTCATCGTACCAGTGAACACCCGATGCCCATAGCCAGAACGGAGCACGGTAAGCGACGAACTTGGGGCAAAAGTGTGCGAACTGAGCATCCCAGTCCAGCAGTCCGGTGAGTGAAATCCTGGACTCGTCTTTAATCTCTACGAGCATGTTTCGCGGATAGAGGTCGAGATGGCAGAAGTAAAACTTGTCATCATCTGGGATGAAGCCCTTGTCGTATAGTGCCTGTGTGATGATATCGAAGCAATACCAAGGAGCTTTGTCGCCGTCGTCACGGTCTTCCTCTAGTATCTTCCATCTATAGCTCTGATGTATCAAGAACTGGCGTGTAGTCATAGCCTCAGCGGGGCGGTCCGCGGGCCCCGAGGATGCTGATACCGGGCCTTGACTGGTGTTGAAGGCTTGAATCTCTGGGATTACCTTATCGGGAGAATGTGGTAGTCTTGTTAGACTGGCGATGACACCTGCCTTGGGTTCCTGAATAGTATGTAATTTCTCCATGACATGGACAACAATGTGCATAGCGTTTATCTTTTGGCTGATCGTAAGTTCAGGCCATATTTTGTTGAGATTTTGGCCGGGAAGACGGTTCTGAATGGTATACGTCCGTGACAGAGGATTACGCGGGTGCTCATCTAGATGTATGACGTGAGGTACGATAGTGCCGAAAATTGTGCCCGCGAACGTCAGAGTAGCCACATCATACCTCATGTCCAAGTCGTCGCTTGAGGGCTCCTTCCGTGCGCTCCTGAGTATGTGGTGCTTTGGCGTGTGAGCTTTGGCGTAGTCTTCGTCACTGGTCAGGAATGAATGTATCCAAGGGATAGTAAAGGCGCGAGGAGGTGAAGGCGTGACAGCGATAGCTGTGATTCGATTATAACCTCCACCACGCATATGCTCGATTCGACAGGTTGCTCTGGGAAATAGAGTGGCGCAAAACTCCGCGACTCTTATACTGAAGAATTCGAAGGACTCTTGACCATAGGCCACAGTAGAAGTCTGAGATACACTGGAGTCCTCTTCCTCTCCAAAATCCTCGCTACGCTCTTCGTGCTGAGGCTTATCGTCGAGGTATCGGCGTATGTCCGACGCTTTGAATCTGGAATTTGGCATGAGAGCTGGAGGAGTTTGCGCGTCTGGGACCAGTGTCGGAATGTGTGTGAGCAACTAGATGAGTGGTAGAGCGCCCTTTGCAATCTACAAAGGTGACATTTGTGCAACATTGCGACGTTCCCAAGGGAATATTTGCAGGTGTTTGCAGGGTACGAGCGTTTGCACGTACCAGAAGCTCCATAAGAAGCGGGCCGAAGAGCTCAGACGCTTGACATGGAAGCGAAGGAAGAGTGAGGACATCATGTCGAAGGAGAATGATATTCACTAACCCTAGAGAATAGGAAAGCTGATACAAGACAGAAGATTCTTGAACCCGCCGTCGTTGCCAGATGTCACCGGAGTATCTTGATACGCGACGGTGCCGGGTATTGGGTGTGGGAGAACATCGTGGACGTGTCTGCATACAATTCCACGAGTTCGAGTATGAGTAGCAAGCACACGGTAGAAAGGGGCAGCAATGCGACACGGTGAGAGTTGACTCAAAGGAATGTAGGGTGTTGAGACGCGACAGATGACGGAATGACTTCCGTCATCGCCTCTTGTCTGATTGGCCAACGGAAGCTCCACCTTCCGTCGACCGTCCCACCATCGCATTAGTGTTGCTTGGTCATGCTCGACATAAGCAGCGCATTCTCCGCCAAGCCTCAGGTTAACACGCGCCGGATTGTTAAACCTTTACCAACCAAGCAAGCTCACGATGGCACCCACACCAGTCCGCCCCGAAGCCTCCCTCGAACATTCTCGTCACCCTAGTCGCGTTTTGCATAAAGCGCCCCCGCCCGACCCATGAAGACGCTTTCCTCCCTCTTCATCGCCATCATCGCAATTGCACTTGCAGCATACAACAACGAGTACATGCTCTCGAGACTCACACAGTCACTGAGACACGTCACATCCCTAGCGAAGACTACGAAGCCCTTCTACAACGCCACCGAAGATATGTCGACCATGTTCCGCGGACTGCCCGTCATCCCCGACGAGAAGTTCACCACCGATGCGCCCCGCAAGATCGCAAAGTCGTTCCTTGCTGTCGAACAATCTGAAGGCGCAGGAGCGAAAGTGAGAAGGAGTGTTGGCACCCCCAAACTCCGCAACTTCTCTCCCTTCCTCATGCTCGACCACTTTGCCATTCCACCAGGCGCAGGCTTCCCAGACCACCCACACCGAGGTACGTGATAGCGCAGACCAAGTACTCATGATTAACATGCTAACTCTCGATTCAGGCCAAGAAACTATCACATATCTCCTCTCCGGCGCCGTCGACCACGAAGACTTCGCCGGAAACAAGGGTACCATCGAGCAGGGCGACCTGCAATTCATGACTGCCGGTCGCGGCATCGTCCACGCCGAGATGCCGCGCCAAAACGAGGACGGCGCGCCCAACGTCGGAATGCAACTCTGGGTTGACCTGCCCAAAGAACTGAAGTCATGCGAACCCCGCTACCGCGACCTACGAGCGAAGGAGATCCCCGAGACGACCGCGGACAACGGCAAGGTGCACGTCAAAGTCATCAGCGGACAAGCTTATGGTACCGAGAGTCTGAAGGAGCTGGCATACACACCCGTCTGGCTGCTCGACTTCACAGTCCAGCCCGGCGGCAAAGTCAAGCAGCCCCTACCAAAGGGTTGGAACGCCTTCGCATACCTCCTCAACGGCACCACTATCTTTTCCTCCGACGGCGTATCGCGACCCATCGAACAATACCACAACGTCGTCTTCGAGAGCAACGGCGACAGCATCGAAGCTTCTGTGGAGGAGGGTGCCGACAAGCCATCGAGGTTCATCCTTGTCGCTGGCCTGCCGCTCGATCAACCCATCGTACAATACGGACCCTTTGTCGTCACATCAAGAGACGAGGTCATGCAGGCTATGATGGACTACCAGAGCCATTCGAATGGTTTCGAGAGGGCGAATAACTGGGAAAGTGAGATTGGAAAGAGTATGGTGCATTGAGTTGCTGAACTCTGGTAACGGTTTCCTTTTCAACTTCTTCTTCTGTATATACCAAATCACGATACCTTTATTCCTACTCCATCGAAGATCATGCCCAAATCCCGTTTCCTCTCAAGAGCTTTCACGCCTTCCCATGCTACAGTCAGATGCACAGTAGCAACACCCAGGTGCGCGCCTCCTGTCTCGCGACACGTCTCGTGCGTTCTGTTGTTTGTGTCGCTTGATAACTCCGAAGTCTACAAATAGTCTACGCGCATTCGTCCTTTCTCTCCTTTTTCTGTCTCCACTTACAGCGACTTCGACTCATCCCAATGGCGAACTCATCCAACACTCAAGCTTCATCAAGCTCGCCACTTTGTTCAATGTGTCCTAGACCCGGAACAATAGTCTGTCCCACATGCCACTGCAGCCGGTACTGCTCGAACATCTGTCGACAGGACGATTGGCCAACTCATAGTCTCCTATGCGCCTCATATAACGATTTCGACCCAAGTTCGGCCCCTTCTCCACATCATTTCCGCGCGATCTGTTTCCCCGTGAACGAAGAAAGACCTGTGTTTACCTGGTTGAGCGTCGAACCGTCCACCGGTCCCAATGGTACCTTCATGGATTTCCTGGCCGAACCAGGTCTACCAGCCATGCCTCTGAACTCAGCAGGAGGGGCAATCCATTTTTCTGACAACAACCGAGTCCTCAAGCGACCACACGAACCCATCGCATGGATAGTTCATCTTGGCCCGACCGAGAATGATGAATTGAAATATGTAGGAGGTCCAAATCAGAGCTTCGCAACAATTGATCAGGAGTTGCCAGACGCTATGCATGGTCCTTTTGTAATGTATGGTCCTGGATATCACCTTGATATGATGTCCTTCCGACACATCATCGATGATCTGCGCGCCGATTACTACTACGCCCAGTACATGAAAGAGAAGAATGCGACAGGTCCTATCAAGGGTGTTCGTGTGAGCTGTGGAGGTGATTTACTTATCAGTGATCGCCCCCAGTTCGAGCAGGTCAACTTGTATAGCAACTTCTCCAACATGAACCGGCCTTTCAATCTTCCTGTAGGCGACAAAATCGGCATTCCACTCGAGGCAAGACAGATTCCAGAGGCTCTACCATGGCGGAATCGCCATCATCTTGGAGATTGGGCAAAACGCTATGCACAGAATGAATTCGCACAGAGGCTCAACCCAGCGCAATGGTGGCCGCTGTCAGGCTCAATCGTGATCGCTCGAAAAGATAGGAAGCCGTTGCATTGCGCACACGTGGACGCACTATCTGAGTATTGCGCACGCGAGGGCTATAGCATAGCGCAATTGCGTAAGCTACCTGCAGGACCACATTCCAATCTACCCGACGATGCGCTTGTTCCGATCGAGTATTTGCGATCGCTGATGAACCAAAACTACCAGGCGAGCTCACACCAACTGCTGTCTCGCGCATCGGAGCAGGGCTTTAAAGACTTCCTCCTCGACTTCATGCGAAACGGTGGTATAGAGAAGTATGGTTATGTTACTTCACCTTACATAATCTAGGAACCTGGAACACAGAGCTAGATCGTGTAGGTATGGGCTATGTTAGTCATGACGGATAGTTGATGAGACGTGTTTGACTATACAACCTATGAATCTGCAAGCTATCTTTTCCACACGTGCGCATTCATCTAATTTTCTTTAACTGGGCTCAAAGACTGACACACCCATTCGAGCTATCCTCCACGAAGATACCACCGTAGATTTGTCCTTCACCGCGGAGTGGAATAGGCTCTTGATACCCATCATACACCACCGTCTCAGTCTCAGTCGGCTTCTTCGCAATACCAATCTGCAACTGCCCACCACCAGCATTGCTATTAGGCGTAGCCTTCGTAACAGCCTTCAACGGCCTATCGCCCGCAGAGTAATACACCTTGATCGTACTAATTATCTCGTCAGCATGCACCTCCCACGTCCCCAAATACACAAAGCACTTACTCCCCAACATAATCCAACTGCACCCCAAAATTCTGCCACTTCCCTCTCACTATCCTCGTCTGGAACACAAACTCATTCTCCGCATTCTGCACCTTCCACATCTCCCGCTCTTTCTTCGTATCGAGCCCCGTCCCGCCATCACCGACCAGCACAACGCCACCCACAAACATGAATTGGTTACCGCTGTAATCACCCTTCTCGTGCCACACATTCATATACTCATGACTCAGATTAAGCGGTCTGTGGTCATCCTGTCGGATACTCCAATGGAACGTTACAACTCCGTTGTCTGAGGCATCAGCCCCGGCATCGTTTTGATCATCTTTGAGAAGGAGACCGGCGCGGCGGAACCCCGTTTGCAGGTTTTCGCCTGCGCGGAACAAAGAGCCGTCGTCGATTGTTACTTCGAGTGGTTTGTGTTGGTGGAGGTTGTCGAAGCGCGATGGAGGTGTGGTCTTGGGGAAAAGGAGGATGGATGACCAGGTGCGGTTTTCGCCTTTGACGTAGTCTGGGTTGTAGGGTGTGGAGCCGGTGGGTGTGTCGAAGGATTGGAGGGTTAGGTTCTTGGTGATGCGGCCGTCGAAGATTATGGGGCATTTGATGTTAGACTTGGGGGCGTGAGGGTGGGGATGGGGTGGTGGTGGAGGTGGTGCAGGTGCGGGTGCATGTGAAGGTGGAGGCGGAGGTGGGTGCAATGGGGTTGCAAGGGCGAGGCCCAGGAAAGGAAGGAGAGAGACGAGATGCATCTTGGAATGATGTTATCTGAAACACTACCAACGAACACGACGATGCACTTTGAATATATATTCTATAGGTATCAAGTCGAGGTTGCGCTAGTGAGCCCTATGCATATTGGCTAATTAAGAAAAGCGGCAGGACACTATGGGCCAAGCTCTAGTGCAGCCACATCTACCGGAACACCATTGGTACCAAGCCGACGGACCTGACTGCCGAGTTCTCTTGCATCGAGCAAAGACAAATACCTCTTTTCTTGAAGGACCTAGTATGGCTTCTAGACGCTATCTGGAAACTTCGTGACGCGATGGACGCATTCGCGCTAGACCGCATACGGTGAGGAGACATCCCCATACTTCCGTCGACCTTCTTCTTCCATCCACTTCATCCAAAACCGCTCGAAATCTTCTTTAGAAGCTCTCTGGAGTAACAGGTCATTGTGCATCTCGAAAGCCTCATCGAACTTGGAAGCTAAGTTCCATGATTGCTTGCTATCCAGGATCTCTCGAACTTGCCCACTACCGATAGAGCATAGGTACGCCAGTAGAGCTGCAATATGAGCGACAAGCAACGGCTGCTTGTCTTTTCTCGCGATGCAAACACTACCCAGGCTGGCTGACCACTCAGAAGGGTTGAGTTGTGCGAAGCCGAAGTTCCAGGCATGGTGCAAGCCTTTGTAACCGCCGCTCCGATTTCTCCAGGGTAGCGCTGGGGGTATGGTGCGAGCGAAAAGATCGATACCGATCTTGGAGGCAATCCACATGAGGAGGTTCTCGTCCTTTTCGTAGAAGCCGTCGGTGACTTTACAAGCCTCGAGTGATGGACGATCACTGACCAGCCGATCACCAATGCAGTTGATGCGGACACCAGGGATGTAGCCTATTCTTTTGTCTCCAAGTTGGCGGAGTGATTTGTCGTACTCCATGTACATCATGTCGACGATATGCCGGAAACTTGTCATGTCCAGATGTGCGCGATGGCCAACGAACAGTATATTCCCTTTGCAGCATTTTGATAGCTCGGGCGTAATGTTTCCCATGCTCTTGTTTGGAATGCCAGTCAGGCATAGTTGATCCGGTAAAGCTGGGCACGCTCCAAGGCAGCCAAGCATGTGGATAGTATCGTGCGAGCGTTTCAAAACGCAGTTGTAGGATGAGTTCCCGCAGCTGACGAGTCCCTTGCTCTGATCATCTGGCATCAGATAGTACTGGAGAGCAAAGCCCTCATCGCCGGGCTGAGACGTCATCCTCACCCATACCCATTCGGGTGCGGCCTTTCTGGCGTTGAAGAAGATGGCCTTGAACAGTCCGGGTTCAGGAGGGATCTGTGTCTTATAACTTCGATAAGCCCCGCAGAGCAGCCTATGAACGGATTTGTCATCCTGCAGACACTCCGTCGAACAATAATAGCTGCGTTTGCATGTTGTGCACATGTATGTAGCTTTACGGTGGCACATGCAGCAGAGGCGAGCAGATGGTCTCGAGACTTCATTCATGATGACGTCGTTGGTGTGATATCGATAAAGCCTGTGATTAAGATAAGAATGAAGGATGAAGTGCTAGGAAAGCTAGGACAAAGGTATTAAACTCCTCTGGGAACGGAAGGGAAAGTGCGCGAACATGCACCTAGCACCCACCGAGTGCTTTGACAATGCAAACTGTCATATGGGAAAAAGCCCATTCAGCGAGACGTTGCAATGACCCTGTTGATGTGAAAGTGTTGAAGCCACAGGCAATGCAGACGGCACTTTTTATATGATCATAGCAGCTATATCGATCATAGCCGGTAGAGGTTAGTCATTTTTCTCTTCACTTTTCCGGGTTGAGGTTGTTGCTCGTCGACGCCCCAGAATTTGAGGAAGGTGATTGGTCTCCAGGTCCACTGCGCTTCGTCGTTCAGAGCATTGTCCAGGATCCACGTGATGACGGCGGTGAATGCGACAACCCCGATAGCGCTGACCCAGTACACCCAGAATTCACTTCGGTTCTGAGACCGCGCATGAGAGGTTAGTAATTGTTCACTAACAATATGTTCATGGTGATCTTACCGGTGCGTAATTGTCTTGCATACTAAACAAGCTGCTCGTATATGCCAAGGGAATGAACAGCAGGGCGAGAAGGTTGAGTCGTTTCACGCGCTTGGCCTCCTCCAAGTTCTGGCGATTACCCGCGATCGATGCCAGTCCAGTCATGGCTTGTATCAGATTATCGGCCCGTTCTTTAAGGATCTTGAGACGGAAGTAGACGTATTGGAAGTCCTTCTCGCAGTCCTTCCACGTTGACGCATGCAACCTGACGGACTTGTTGATCTGCCCATTCAGGGAATAGTCGAGACTCAGCAATGCATCTTCAAGGTCGTCGCGATAGTTGCCACACCGTCGCGAGATAGTCTGCAAGCTTTTCCATTGACCCTGTTCCTCGACCCATGCAGTAGTAAGCCGAAGCTCCAGTGAAGGTAGCATTGCTTTGATATAGTCGACAAGCTGGAGGTAGTGCGCAGCGACTATCTTCTTGAGAAACATTGCTGATGTATTGGGCGTAGCCCACTCATCTTCGGAGAAAAGATCGGAGTGTTGCTGGTAGTAGTGGAGGAGGTCGCGCAGCATTGACGCATGCGGATGTCGTGCTTTGCTGTGTATCTGATGATGAGGGACGGGTGGAATGAAGTCAACATAGCCTTCCTGAAAGGGTGCGTTCTCAAGTACGTCGCCTTTGCTGATTTCACGAAGCGTGTTATCGTCGGGATTGACTTGTTTGGGCGGAGGGTGAAGGTCAACCAGCTGGGGATCACACAATATAACCACTACGTGAATCAGCTAAGATCACTCGGACTGCTCCTTGCTGCTTTGTCTTCCGAACCGGTGTCGAGCTTCTGACGCAGCGAGATATCTTCGAGAGTGATTCTAGGATCAAGTGTGTGAAAATTACGTACCATCCCAGCCGCCGGCCTCGGTCTTGCGAGACCACCAGCCGACTTTACGCCTTAGTATCCCAATCGTGCTTTTCTCTTTTGGACGGGATGCTGTCATGCCCACATGCCGTCTCGTCCGCTTACAGAAGAAATAGCGATTTTCGAGCGCCTTGTTAAATTGCCGTAACTCGCAATACTGGAGCTGAAAAGCCTGCTGCGGGTCTAGCAGGCTGGGTTGGGGTAATGCATCGCTCACTGGTGTAAAGTCGTTGCTCCAGACACATGTCCTCTCTTGCCGCTGGAAGAATGAAGGATCCATGAAGAAGTGACCGCCGACGGCTGCGACAAAATCAGGTGCTAGACCCTCCATGATATAGATGCGCCGACGGTTGTGGTTGTGCCCCGCGGATTCAAAGTGCTTAACAAGCTCTTTCTCGCCTCTGAATTCAGTCGTTGTGAAACCAGATGCTCCAGTAGCAGGGGCGTCTAAGAGCGCGACGAGCGCGTTGCCATATTTCAGGGGCTCATCCTTGTTGTTTGGATCGGCCTTCTTCAGGCCAGGATTGGATCCGCTCAAAGCCTCTATATATCGGCGATATGGGCCTGTTCAGAATTAACGACACCTGCAAATGACACTTGGACAGGATATCTTCTACCATCAGCACACAACCATAATCCAATCGGTGGCAGTTCGTCTTTCAGCATGTTTGGGCTTGGGGTGACCGTCCTTGAAGTTGCAGCAACGGATGTTTTGGTGGCTTTTGGAGCCCCGGCGATAGTCGCCATCTCGACTGCGTTGACACCGTTGTCGGCCATTGACGCAGATGTGCGTAGCGTACCCAATATCAGAGCTCGGACAAAATGATAGCTCTCAAGAAGCTGGCGAGCAACGCGTTGATGCTAGGGGCCAGAGCGCGTGGTCGTGAATAAGACGGGATGAAGGAAGCGAGCCTTCGATTTTCCGAAGGGGCCGCGGCTCTGCATCGAGGCGGAGCTTCGTCTGCATCAGTTGGGGGCCAGAATTGCGCCACGTCATCCGTGCATTCACAAAGTTCCGCTTGTGGACGCATGCTCAGTTTTTGTGTCTGTATCGCAGGCGCATTGAGGCTGTGGAACGCGGCCGGTGAGTATTGAGAGGCGGGGAAAACCTAAGGCAGCCTAGCTCGCGCGTCCCTCGCGGCTGCGCATCTCCAGCAGTCCTCGAAGTCTGCTCTTGATGCGCGTTGCTATAGACATGACTGTGTTCCTGGAGTGACACTGTGGCTTGTCGCAGTTGGTTACGCAGTCAACGCAGCAGCTGGACCTGGGGTGCAATCGAAGAAGCTGAGGCAGGTCACGTGATAGATTAGCGCGTTCACGTCGGCGCGCTTCCCCCAGAACGCGCGGGCGTTCACTGCGGGTTCCCACGGCGAAGGTTCACACATCCGATCGTGAGTTCGTCGGCTCTCCACTATCGCGCTCAGAAACCACTATAGGTTTGGACTGATATACGTCGATGTTTTGCATGACGAGCAGTGGAGGCGCGGGCTTCAGTTGCATTTGCCCCGCATGCAGGCCCACGTCCACGGGTGGCTGTGGCTCACCTGCAGCCTGATGGCGGCTTTGGCACATTCGAGGCCACCATCATGACACCAGATCTTTTCCATTCTACTATCCTTTTGGCCGTCTACGCCCAGAAGGTTTAATTCGGTCGCATAACACCAACAGTCACGGTAGATAAGCCTGATCACACACCGAGCCCAGTACGGCAAGCGCGCAACTATGAGGTTACTCAACACGCGGACCCTAACACTCACGACATTCATCGGCGAGGTGCCCGAGTATGTCATTCTCTCACATCGCTGGGAAGCAGAAGAGCTTGTCTACGAGGACGTGGTGAAAGAACCCATCAGCAACATTAGCAGTCCAGCCCGGACCAAACGAGGATTTACCAAAGTGCAGGGCACCTGCGCACTCGCGATCAAAGATGGATTCGATTGGGTCTGGATAGACAGCTGCTGCATCGACAAATCCAGCTCTGCTGAACTTCAAGAAGCGATCAACTCAATGTTTCGATGGTATCAGGAGGCTCAGATTTGCTACGCTTACTTGAGCGACGTTTCAGATGGACAGACTGGGTGTGATGTGGCGTTTGAACAGAGCTTATGGTTCACTCGCGGCTGGACCCTGCAGGAATTACTGGCACCATACAGCGTCGAGTTCTACGCAGTCGACTGGGCGCCTATTGGCTCAAAGGCTTCGCGCGCTGGTCAAATTGCCTCCATCACTGGTATCCGCCCTAGCGCTCTGAAGACCGACTGGTTTGACTCCAGAGACTACTACAGCGCCGCAGAAAAGATTTCGTGGGCTGCGCATCGACTTGTCACTAGACCCGAAGATATGGCTTACTGTCTACTCGGTCTGTTTGATGCAAACATGCCTTTACTTTATGGGGAAGGGGGGCTCAAGGCGTTTCGCAGGTTGCAGCAAGCCATATTCGAGAGCGACGCCGACTACACGTTATTTCTATACGCCAATTGTGATACCCCTGGGGCGCCGTCTATCGCTTCCTCAACTAGCCAATTTTGTCGAAGAACTTCCTGTGAAGACTGCGCGCCGAACCTCAGGCTCCTCCCTGATGACATTATGTATTCTCAGATACGTCCAGCTGAATACTGGAAGCCATTCGACGACCAGTACTTGAGGCTTGTCAAAAGTGGAGTGGCAATAAAGATGCCTCTTTATCGGTATAGATCGGGCCTGAGCACTCGAAGCCTAAGCTCCACACGTTCCGTTCTCCGCACGATAAAAGGCAGATGGATCGTACTTCTGCCCTTGGCTCTTGAAGGGCGTGTAAATTACGTCTTTGGGATAATTCTGATGGAGAAAGAGCCATCAGGATATGTTCGCTACAACGCAGCCCCCATCTTGGTTCATACAGACATACTTGGTGACCGAGCGCCTGTCCCCGAAGCTTTCGTTGTACATGACGAGTTCGTGGAATTTTGGAATACACCCAGGCTATCTGATCAGCATCATGCTCGATTTATGGTTCGAAGTTGCTCATTCCAGGCAGTGTCCTGGAGCTGTAGCTCCCGCAACCACCAAGTCTCTTCGACGAGTCGCGAAGCATCGTTCTTGAGCGTAGCATCATTCAATGACCACTATACTGTGAGACTAGAAACCTCAAGTGCCGTCTTGAACCTTTCAGCGGTCATTGTACTGCTTAGGGTTGCAGGAAAACTCCGACTCCGCGGTGTAAAACTTGATGGTGAAGGATTTTCGTGGCAACGGACATTACAACCAAGTCGTATCACAGATTGGCTAAGAATTCCTTACGATGCGCCCCAAGGCTATATCAACGTTGCTCTTCGCCATCTATCCCCTACAAGGACGCGAGATGCTTCCAATTCAGTCAACACAATCGTTGCCCGTTACCGGGTGGACATCGACTTCGTTGAAGGCATCGTCCACCCTTCGGAACCGGAAAAGACAGATGCTGCAGTAGCAGATACGAAACCCTAGATTGCGTTCACATGAGCTGCAACGGCCGATCAGATATGGGAGAAGAAACATGTCTTCGTGTAAGTAACTCATGGCTTGTGTTCAGTTGTCACACGTTTGGCCTTCTGCTGCTGACACCCTTACCCGCGCATCCCCGTCAGCGCATTGGTATCATCACTATGAATTGACTTGGTTAGTAGTGTCTACCGAGCTAGAATTTGTGGAAGGATGGAGTGGGCTCCGCATCGGCATCGTCGGGCCGATACCTTGGGTGGCAGCAACTGCAGCCGGCGTTTCTTGGATGGTGCAAGACGGCGATACGCAGAAAGCATTCGCAGTTGCTGACGTTATACCTATTGCGGGTAGATGTGAGTATATTGATCTAATGAGTCCGGATGTTACTGACGACAAGATAGCGGAGCTTGCACTGTTGGCGATCGTGAGTAAGATCGAGCTTTGAGGCTTTCATGAGAGACGGGATCGCGATGAGGCTTTTTGCAATGACTGTAGGGCCCACTTCCACTTGACCGCTCCTATGCGGTTGAGTGCGTATAACAGTGAATTCCAAATCAGCGCGTATATCGAGCATCCAAAACTTCATTCACATCTGCCGCGTCCCTATCCTACAACTTCCTACTCATCGTCATCATCATCCTCTTCCCAATCAAACGCCCCCTCCTCATCACTATCCTCAAGCAACCGATCAACAATGTCATCCTGATTCTTCCACACCCGCTTGACAAGATCGAAAACCCAATCCGGCCTAACCTCCACCTTCTCCGCGGCCTTCTTAAACCGCTCCTGAACACACACCATCCCGTTCTCCACGTCGTCGAACGACGGCACTTTCGTCCTAACCATCCCGAGAACATCATCCTCAATCACAATATCCAATGTCTCCAGCTGAGCCTTTGCGATGTCGCGGAGAAAATTGTTCCAGTTGCCGCAAAAAGCGTTAACAACAGTCAGGTGTTTGAGACTCTGGTGGAAGTGTTTCAAACAGTCTTGGTGCCATAGAAGACCATTTGCCGATGCTTCAAATCGGGGGTCGAATCGAATGGTTAGGGATTCAAGTTCTGCTGCCTTGCAGTCCTGGATGTTTGGACCCGGTTCGTTCTCAGATCTGACCTGGTTAAGATATAAAGTCAGGTCGCGTAGGCTGGGGAAGCTATCATTCGTTAAGAGTATTTCGGTGTGAAGCGGTGGGGGAGACGACCCGAAGGTATTTCCAAAGGTGGGTCTGTCGTCGATACTTTCCGCAATACGTAGGAATCTTAACGATAGGTGGTTGAGACACAGCTTGTTTGTGTGTGTAAGAACCTCGCGCACAACGTACTTCGAGACGGTGGTCTTGAAAGATTGGAATCCGATACTAGGTACTGGCATTGCGAAGCTTGTTGGGCGGATTTCAGCTCGCTGTACAGCTCGAAGTGCAACGTCGAGGCCGATCATCATCCCGTTGTATGCGATGGCCTCCGAGTTTGCGTCTCGCTTTGAGCCCCTGGCGTATGGGCTCCGGCATCCCTGCGAGCGGCCGTGCTCTTCACCAACTTCCTTGAACAGCGTTTCGTAACGGCTCCAGGCATCGATATCGGGTTCAAGGAAGTTGAAAGTGTGTAATTGCTTGAATCGGGATAAACTATTCGCGATGGTGGTTATCAACCCCTCTTTTGCTAAGACGTATTCGGCGACGGCATCGTAATGCGCCCCATATAATCTGGGGGATACCAAGGAAGAGGTCCATACGTTCCCGAAGATGGACTTGTTTTCCTCTTTCAGTTTTTGCCAGCGCGACTCCAGATCAGGTAGAACTATCGTTCTCAACCAACCCACTTTCTCCTCTGAAGGGGTCTCAAACCTGAGGCGCTCTGCGTAGTTCCTGCCCCCAGCTGCTATGTCGTTTTCCGTCTCTTCTGAAAGCATTGAAGGGTGCGCGAACCTTTCCAACAGGGCGGTTCTGCGTTGCATCCGGAATCTGTCCTGAGCCGAGAGCGTCCGTTCAGTGCCTTCTTTGGTTGCTTTATGATGTCGATAATCTGCTTCGGCTCTGAGAGCGACAGGATTGTCATGATAATCCTCATAACAACAAGTCATACGCAGGGATTTCATCGCCTGGGCTAAGGCATCCACCTTGCTGATCTCGCTCAACGAGCGAAGATCGTGGGGACTACGAACATCCCAAGTCTATAGTGAAATATCAATGTCAGCTGTACCGATCGTACCAGACGATATCCAGCTCCCGGCGCAACTTGCCCTTGCGACGAAGCTAATAATGTACATACCTTTGCTTCAAGAGAATCGACGAGGTGCGATTGGGCACATGCTTTGAATCGCTTGTTCACCAGTCGCATCACCGCCATTGGCGTGCCACCAGCGACCACCAAGTCTGTGATGAGGTTTAGTAGCTCGTTCGGTAGACTGCCGAGTTGCGCTCTGTCCTCGCCGATATCTGCCATAACCGCGTCTGTAGATGCGGCCATTGTCGGTTCTGGAATGCTCTTAATGTCTCCTAAGGATATTAAGAATGAGGGCGAAAAGTGAAAGTTGACATCAAAGACGGTAGCCAAGTATGTGGCACAGTACCTCCGCAGCAGTGGGGCCGCTTAGCGTGGTGCTAGCCGTCACGAGCAGACCCTAGTACCGAGTCCTGAAGGCCTTCGCGTGCCATCGTTCAATACATCAGCGACGCGACGTAACCATGCCTGGGGACTTTGGTAGTCATTTGAATAAGTATAATTGCATCATAGTAACCGTAAATTCTTTATTGATATCATTTCATTGTCCCATATCATGGCTGCATACCACCAAGGGGGACCCTCCGCACTTTCGTAAATGCTCAATACGGCTGCAATGCCCAAATAGATACACGTCCAGTCCAGATTTTTTCAAAAATGTCATACGCTCAAGGCAGCAGGAGCCGCCATCTCCTGCGGTGGAATGGCCACAGTTGCTTCTGGCTCCACTTCTGGCACCTTGACGCGCTTGGCCTCAGGCTCGTCATCATCCCGTTCCTTGCGCTTCTCCTTCCTTTCGACAGCATCGCTCTCTGGATTTGCGGCTTCCTTGACCCGAGCGCGCTTAGAAGCGCGCGACTCGTTCTGCGGTATGCCCAGATGCTCGTCAACAACGTTGGCCTGCTGTAGCAAGTCGTCAACGTTCTCCAGGCCCAGCGCCTTGATGCAATCCGTGTAGCACTTTGACTTGTTCATCGCCTGATACGCTTTCTCCTTCCCTGGTATCATCTGACTGAGCAGATACTTTGTGTTCCCCCATCTGTTCTCTACTTGTAGCGCGAAACGCATGTATTCGGTAACAACGGTCTTCCACTGCGATTTCCACTCGTGTGGCCCGCCTTCTGCGTCAGGTCGGAACACGCTGGGGTTCTTCTCGGCTGCGGTTGCGATCATTGCGCCGTCGACGTTGAACTCTTCGGCGAGTTTGAGGGCTTCGGTGCGCGATGTGACGTCGCCGTTCATCAGGCATGCGACGCCTGCTTCGTGGCATATCTCTCCAATCATCTTGAGTTGGTCCCGAATCGCGCGCTCTCTGGGTCGCATCGGTGTGGTTCGACAGTGTACCGTGAGACCCGTGATGCCGGTGCGCACTAGTCTCTTCACCAATGCTGCTGTCTCTTCTGGCGTGTCCAGAATCCTGATCTTGACGCTGATGCCGATCTCGAATGGCTTTCCCACTTCTTCCACGAGACTCGTCAGGATGTTGCAAAGCAGGTCTGGTGTCTTGAGCAGCGCTGCGCCCATACCACCGGAAGTCGAGAATGGCTTGGGGCAGCCAGAATTGACATCGATGCCTGCAACATCCGCTGCGACCATCTTGGCTGCCTGAACTGCCAACTCCGGATTCGCCGTACCAATCTGGTATATGAGCTTTCCCTTCTCCAGCTCCGGATGTATGCGGTATAAAACGCTTTCGCGATTCTCGGGATCGAGGGTGGGGTTTTTTATCTTCGAAGTCGGCAGGCGCGAGAACTCCAGGGTATTCGTGTGCGGGTTCAGTCGCTTCGTGGTGCCAATCATGGCGCGATCGATGGTTTCGGGTCCCCAGACCAAGTCGGCGCCGTACTTCAGCGCGAGGAGGCGTGAGGGCAATTCGCCGGAGCGGACCATGGGCGCAAGCACCACTTTGCCACGGTAGTCGACGCCATTCTTTGGGATGGGAACACGGGCGGGCTCGTTGGATGCCATGGCTCGTGTTATCGATCGTGATAGGGTTCGAAGCATAACATGCCTTCACGGGAAGAGGGCGGAGGATTGGGAAGTGAGTGGGGAGGGAAATCGTAGCGGCGTTCTGAAAGTTCAGTGCACGTGCCTTCGTGGGTGGGGTTAGCGCGGGGGTGTCACTGCAGGTACCGCCTGACAGCCCTCACCATGTCCTTTACATAGTGAACTTCGCTGGACATCTCAGAGAAGACACTGAATATCAGACTTCCGCTTGGAGTATTATTGCGTGTTTTCGAAGTTGGTAATCAGCTTCCACCTGCCACCCTCTATCAACTTCGAACCCTTTACTTCCTTTCGCGAAATCGCTGATCTATACAAACACGAACTCCCGCTCCTCGTCATCAGCCTTATCAGTATTACTATCTGCTCGAGTGTTCTCCTCGGCATGATTTCCGTTAACTTGTTCCTCTTCCAGAATACTCTCTTCGTCGTTCCCACAGTCCGGCGGATACACATAGGCATCGCCTACAAACTCCCAAATTTCCAGTTCGCCGTCTACAGCAGCATTGACTTTCCTGATCACGTGCAGTATTGGCGCCCCATTCATCGCTATCAGAACATCACCAGGCATCACTCCCGGAATCGTCGAGCTGAGATGCCCTTTTTTGGTCTTGAAGAGCTGCCTGAAACTGACCTTCTGCATGGCCTCCATGAACTTATACGCGTTTGCACATTGGTCTTCTGCTTCAAGAAACTGTTCAGAAACGTTTATAGAGGTGCCAGACTCAAGGTCTACATGATCTGACTTTGCTCTGCTTAAGTTGAATACATCAGCAGGTACCAATATATGCAAGAATGACCTACTTCAGGGCTGTTGGGTTTAAATCGACGCCTCTCAGTCGCCGTCCCATTGTCTGGAAGTCAAGATACCAATCGTGTTTTATAGTCTGGTCTAGGTAACGCCCGGGCTCTTGGTTGTCTACTAGCGCACGCCAGTATTCTTCATGGATTCTATCGCTTCCAATTCCCGCTCGTGGCCGTGTCAACGTGGGATCATCCATACCAGCAGCGATCGTCTGTTCCCAATTCGCGATAGCCAGCAGTTTTTCTCTCTGTTCTGATCGGATGTTGTGTTGGCTAGAATCAGGGAATGGCATCATTGCGAACACCTTGACGACTTCATCGTGTATTTTGCCCGTTAGCACCAGCTGTTCTTGTTCCACGCTTGGTCGCCAATGTAGCTTCTTCCTGATAGCGGCGTACCGAGAAGGTCTCTTGCGTTCATAATCCGCCTGAGAATTATTCCAGGGCGTTGAGCGATGGAGATCTGGTACCCAAGATGGTAGACCTTGGCGTTTGTCAAGCGCGAATGCCCAGCCGAGCCACATCCACAGCGTGCTATGTTCGTGCTTCCAAGCCATCTCCAATATGAACTTAGCGGCTCGAGTAAATAGGTCTTCGACTGAAGAATACTGTATCGCCGGATCGAGGCAAGGATATCTTAAATACTTCGGATCCATCAAGCCTAGCAGTCCTAAGACGCGATCCTCAGGTCTGAGACATATTAGCGAACGCGACATGTTCATTGCGAGAGCCAGCATATGGACTTGATGGCCGGGTGGATTGTCAACGTCTTCACTCCAACACAGCTGCACGACGGTTCGAACACAGAACATCGAGATCCTCCATAGCCCTCTCGCCATTCCAGTACGTACAGGCTCATCAGGCAAAGGCAAAGGATTTTTAACCCCATCGAATTCTTTGTCAAAGATTTGGCAAAGCACTGCATCCTTCATCGCATTCTCCATGAGTTCCCAGCTGCATTTACTGTCGCCGCAGAGGAAGGTGACTTCTCGCGCTAATGCCGCCTCCTGTAGGACCCATAGTCTTCCAAACCAGTCGTTGAGCACGACGTGGCACAGCGCGGGCTTTGCATCCAAGGTATCGAAGGACAACTTCCCATAAAGTTCGTCAATGTTTCTGTGCTGTTGCCCTTCTTTCTCATCGCGCAGGTTCTCAAGAAAACGGAGAGCGTCAGGAATGCGGTCTTGGTGCTTTGTAATACCAAGCCAAACCCAGACTCTTTTCGCCTGCTTGTAGACGCGGTTCATCTCCCGAATTTGCACCATCTTCTCTTCACGGTCTGCTTGGTTGATGCAGATGGCGTCGATCCAAATCGGCCGCACTGGTCCACCATCTCCGCGGCGAGCAAGGTACGGTAGTGCAATATACAGATTGCGATGCACTTGCATAGCGCAACCGTTCAGGGTAATGCGGAGACGCTCAGAGTCTGAGCCCCATACATAAGAAAGCGCATCGAATTCCAAGTCGGGTCGGTCGAGAGCAACCGTTTGTATCTTCCAGGTGTGGCCATCGGCGGCTTCGCTGGGGGTAGGCGTAAGCAGACGGATGTAGCCTGCGGGCAACGGATCATACACGAAAGGTGGAGGTTCTGTCATGCTGGATACGGCAAGAGAGAGGTGGAGTGTCTTGTTGGAAACTGTGCATCTGGTGCGGGGCGCGACTTCCGCATCTTGGAAAGTGCGGCACAGTCAACCTTGGAAGAGCATTTTGACTAGGCTCGATCGAGATTAGACTGTTCACAGCGGCGTTAAGTATGCGCATTGTTTGCATAGACATCTGATTCGTTCAATAGTAGTATTTACGACACACAGATCGCCCCTAGCACGTCCACCAAGAAACAAACTAAACAGGCCTGCAGCCTACATCAACATGGAAGCATACAAGATAGGTGACCTGGCGTCGATGTAGGCTCTACACCTGTTCGGCGTTCTCCGGGTTACTGGTGACTTCGGTCTCTGCCCAGTGTCTGGCGAGTGCATCCATAATTTTCGGTGGATCGACCACAACTGTCTTTGCGGCGCCATAGAACAGTACTTTCGGAACGTCTGTGATGAGCACAACCTCATGCGGGCCGTCGCCATAACCATCAGTAACCTCCAAGCGCTCGAGATTGAGATTTCGACAAAGCTCAAATATCGACTTGTATTTGTCGATGTACATGTCCACGAATGTTATTTGGCGAAGTGTTTCTCTAAACAGCGCGATGAAATTAAGTAGCCTCGGGTGGTCGACTTTGGTGTCTCTGAATACGAGATTCACAACAGTGGGTACGTCCATGGCTGATGGAAGCGGTCTGCCGCCCAGGGCACTTTGGTGAATGGAGCCATCCAGAACGAGCGTATGTAATGCTGGAAAGGTGTCTCTGGTGATAGCCACGGTCGACAATGCTTGGGGTGAACTTTGCTGCAACCCACCCTCGCCAAATTCATCTCGGAGAATCAGGACCTCGACTTTGCTCGAGACCTTTTCGATGACTTGTAGCGTAGCTTGTATCGTGAAGCAATGTAATCCGTTCATCTCCGTAACGAGTTTGAGTCTCTTAGGAAGAACGATAGATTGCGCTAGGGCGCTGAGGAGAAGGTTTTGACCGATCTGAATGCCTGAGTGGTCATATATGTACCAAAATATGTCGACGTCCTTGATCATTGCCATTTCTCGAAAGACTTCGGTGAATCTGCCCGCGACTCTCCTGGCGCAGTAATGGATGTTGACGATATTCGGTAAAGCTTCCAGACACGATAGAACGAGTTGCCAAAGCTGACTGCTCCTAACAGTATCCTGGAGTGTACGTGCAGTACTGCTGTGATAGTCATCGGAAGACAACCACAGCTCCGAGTACCAATCGAGCTCGCTCTTGATGATAGCCTGAGTCCTATACAAAAGACCAGCTTCGAATACGTCTTCGTGCTTGAAAACTTCACCAGTTTCCACGTTACCAACCTCTGGCAGGAGGTGCTCGGTGTAGCGGGAAGTGATGGTCAGTTTCCGAGCCCACGGAGTCAAATCCTTGCAATTCGCTAAGGCCACGAGGTTTTCCATGCTCTGCTTTGAGCATAGGTCGAAAGTGGTCTCGTCGGTTACTGTTGCTAGAGCGCGCCATGCGTGGTTGTAAACGGTGCGACTCACGTATCTAAGCGCGAGGAGTTTGGAAGCGCGGGATTGCCCGCTGCGGATTTCCTGCATACATCGTCTGTTGAGAGATACCGTTGTTACCGTCAGTGCGGGTTGCACTCCGCGTACCGCTTCGAGCAGGATCCTTTCGAGGAGTTCAGCGGGTAGTGACTCCAGCCGGCTCGTTGCCGCTGCGTATCGAGGAGACGACATCGTCGCGGCCGCTGAAGCTGGTGTCAGTTGCGAGGTCATGTAGCTGTCAGGATGAACGGTGAGCTTGTCGAGTGCGCTGGGTCGAGTGTAGCTCGACTGCCGAGACCGCGCGCCTGAGGCAGGCGGCCACGCCAGGTGTAACCGTGCGCCTCCTGGATGGAAGGAGCACCTCGTCGCACAAACTCACCAAGATTACGCGTAGATTTAACACAAGCAGAAACTCGATTGATGATCAAATATAACTTTACAACTTTGCCTTGACTGCCTCAGGATCTGCGACCTGTACCATGATTTTGCCTGCAGTGGTTAGTGACTCGACTCTTCAACAGTGATGGGACGGGCTTACCAGTGTTCTTTCCCTCAAACAGTCCGACTAGCGCGTCCTCGGCCTTGTTGATGCCTCCTTGGATGATTGTCTCTTTCCTCTTGAGCTTGCCTTCTGAGAGCCACTGCGCGAGCTGTTTCCTAGCCTCGGCGTACTTGTCCGCGAAGTCGAAGACGACGAAACCTTGCATGCGAATGCGCATTGAGATGATCATTATGTAGTTCTGAGCTCAGTTAGCTGGGCGTATTACACCAACTTGAGATGTTTGACATACCTTTGGCCCTTGAGGCTTCTTCTTGTTGTACTCGGAGATCGCCCCGCACATGACGAAGCGCGCGAAAGGCTTCGCTCGGGAGAGCGCAAGGTCAAGGATCTCTCCGCCTACATTGTCGAAGTACACATCGATCAGGCCCTTGGTTGCAGCCCTGAACTTCTTTGCAAACTCCGGGTCCTTGTAGTTCAGCGCCTCGTCAAAGCCGAGTTCCTCCTTCAACCATGATACTTTGCTGTCCTCACCAGCGAGACCCAGAACCTTGGCGCCCTTCAGCTTCGCGATCTGGCCAACCACGCTTCCGGTAGCTCCAGCTGCACCACTGACAACCACAAAGTCACCCGCTTTGACTTGACCGATCTCCAGAAGCCCGAAGTAAGCGGTAAGACCGGTCATTCCCAGTACGCCCAGCGCATCGGTTGGTACAGCCCCCTCCGGCAGATCTAACGACTCAACATGCTTCTCATTCAGCACCGAGTACTCGGACCATCCGCACATGCCAGTTGCGTAGGTACCAACGGGGAACTTCTTGCTCTTACTCGCGACGATAAGGCCAATACCGCTGCCACGCATAACAGCACCGATCTCGACTGGAGGAATGTAAGATCGCGTTGGGTTCAACCAGCCGCGCATCGCCGGGTCGAGTGATAGGTATAGTGTCTGGAAGAGTACCTCGCCATCCTTGAGTGATGATGCCGATGGGACTTCTTGCTGCTTTGGTGTGAAGGTTTTGCCGGCGACAACAGTGTCAACTGGCCGTTCGGCGAGATGGATAGAAGTATATGAAGGCATGATGATGGATTTGATGAATTGATGGCAGACTTCTGAATGCTTTGGTCGACTTTCGCGGTAGTGACCCGGGAGAGCAGACGAGGAAGCGAAATTTCTTTGAATGGAGTTTGGTGGTATAGGAAGTCAAAAGCAAAGACAGCTCGGTCGCGTTTGTAGTTCGTGTTCGCACAGATCCTCCACAGGTGTTCTGCGGAGAAGATACCGAGGCTCGGGTGGTCGTTTCCCGATTAGGACCGCTACGCAATCCAAGGGCCGAACAAAGGAATCTCAACGGCCGTAAGAGTTACTAATCTTCAGTACGCAACGACCCATTGCGTGTGTGTTCAGAGCTGACGATATCAGACTTCCAGGTATATCTCAAGATGCTCCATGATTCCGATAGAACTTCAGGAGTGTTGGTCGGCCTGTTTCCGTGGGCGCATGTTCACGTCAACACGCGCATGAACTGGTCACGTTCTCAAGATGATGACAAGTTGCGGAACAGAACTATAGACCATTCTTTACACGTGAAACGATTTCATGGAGATATGACTTGCAGATGCGATGATTGTCAAGTTCGAGAGGAAGCGGCCGCAGATGCCAAGCCACTAGGGACACCTGACTAAGCGAATCTCGAGCTCAGCATCATCGCGAAACCCAGCGGTACCAACGACCGCCAGCAACCTCACGATGCAGTCACTACGCAGAACAGCAGTGGCTGCTGCCCGGACGAGCCGCACCTCACTCCCGCGCCAGTCGCGCCGCTTCGCACACGATGAGCACGCTCACGGCCACCCGACCCCAGCCGCCGACGAGCCCATGGGTGTATGTCAACAGCCCGTTACCCCTCCCAGAGGGTCCTGGAATTCTCTCGAATTATCGCAGCATTATACGAAGAATATTACTGACTCAATTGGCATGTAGTATGGCTTCTTCATGACCATTGGCGTCATCCCCGTCGGAATCGCCGTATACGCCCTGTCGCGACCGGACGGCGAGAACAACGAGCCCTACATTACCCGCATGATCTCCAATGCGACGGCTGGACTACACGAGAAGTGGACTTCACAGAACGACCACCACGTGCGCATGATCGAGCAGGCGGGTGAAGACAGAGTGCTGTTCGCGAACACACGGCCTCAGGAATACGTCGACATGAAGTTCCCAGAGTACGTATACCCATAATACGGCAGGCAGCCCTATAGGAGGAGGAACTATGATTTGGGACGAAGGCGAATTAGCGCACATGGAGAGGGGACTGGTATGGAAGTCTCAGGCTAACGAATACAGGATCATGAACGTCGGATCCCCATACAACGTCCCCGCCGGAAGCCAAGTGCAAATGGACAAGGTTATCGAGAAGTACAAGAAGCTGGCGTACGAGGACAATGAGCGCAAGCTGGAGAAGTTGAGGAATAACGACATCTCGTCCGAGACGCCCGTGACAGGCCCAAAGACCCGCGTCAAGAAGGCGCCTGACATGTTCTAGATGGAGAGAAATTTGGCCCGCTAGATGTACATACTCAAAGAATGATATCCGTTTCATTTGTAGTGTCTGTTACTGCGCTTTGGCAGTCGGTCTTTGATATCCAATATCGCGTCGCTACCCGATCATTATTTCCTGGCCGCCTTGGTTCATAGTCGGACAACCTATCTTCGGTCTATACGTTGAAAAGGCACATGATCGACCAAGAAACTGACTTGTCCATGACCACATCAGGCCTCAATATACGGAAACATGTTTCAACCATAGACCACTAACGAAACCGTCTTCTTACAGGACATTTGACGTAACGCTCAGGTTCATCGATGGACGACGTCAAAAAGGCAAGACGTGGAAGTGCGTTCAGTTCGCCTCTGCGCAAGTTATGAGCTCCTTATGCTGCTTGGGTAGTTCTCACCAG